GGCTGCGGTGACTGGTAGTGGCTGCAGCAGCGGAGTGATGGTGCTGGTGCCTTCCCCTGATCAGCTCGGTCACCTCCCACAAAGGGAGGCCAGACTGTGGCTTAGGCCCTATCCCCAAGGGGAGCAGGGAGCGGGCCCAAGCCGTCACTAGGACATCCCCTGAGGGCTCCCAGTATGTGAGAGGGGGCAGGCTGGGCTGAGGGACACCCCCCCACACACACAGTGCACAAATTTCGCACTCCAGGCTCCTAGTTGTTAATAATGGCAACAGCTAGACTGTCCTTCAGCTCAGCTCTTCCCTCAGTCTATCACACTAATCTTAGATCCATCCCGAGATGATCATAAAAGGTCTCAAGAGTTTTTTTTTGTTTTTTACAGTGCAAACTGCTGTAAGGAGCTTTGGTCCTAAAACTTAGAGGGATTTTTCCAAGGCAGACTAATTTCTGCAGAAACCATAAATGAGGTATTTAGATTGGTATTAAGGCTCTTATTGCCCCAGGTTGGGTTTAACAATGCTAATTAGGTAACCCACTGAAGATTGAAAAACAGACCCAAAGAAATCTAGATAACTTCTTGCAATGAGCCCTGCCTTCATGGAAAATTCCCCCTACCACTTACGTTGAATTTAAGAGATGTTATTTTGATAAGGGGGCAGCACATGCCCAGATGAAGGTGATCGCCTCAAAGAAGGTCATCAACCAAAGGACAAACTCCAGCCACAGCTACATGGTCACTGCACTCTGGGCAGAATTAGAACTTTGCTACCTAATACAGCACTTTGGGTGGGCTGGGAACATTGGAAGTTTGTTTGATGAAGCTGCAGTCAGCCACTGCAGTGCTTAAAACAGTCATTGCACTTTGCTTCTGGCACACATTCTCCTTCCTGCTGCTTGATCCCTCCCCTCCTCCTCTGCCCCAACTTCAGCTACTTTAAGGCAAAGATGATTAGGAGAGGGGCCAAGTCTTCCTGTCACCAAGGGGGACCAAAGGTCTGTTTGCTTGGCAAGTATTTGGGGGAACTTTGGGGTGGAGAGGAACTTAAACTTATGTGGCTCTGCTGGATATAGAAGTCCATCACCATTCTCTCAGCCCCATGGGGGAGCTGGCATCTAGAGAATGCAGCCAATAGGGCTTAGGCAGGATTCACCTGGAGAGGAATGCTAATGTGACCTGGGTGGGGTCCTCCAGGCCAATTCAATCATTGTTTTAGGTCTGAATGTATAGTAGGAATTGATGTGTTCCTCTGTTTCCTCATTCCTTAAATGCCAGAGGACATTCTCCTGATTGAGAAGAGTTGCAAGCAGAGAAGTGCTAGTGACTTTGAGGCTCCACAGTTTGAGCTAGAAATCTATAGGAATGATAATTTTGCTAATTGGTGTCTCTGGTAAGAGGAGGCAGCCTCCATCTTGAGGTGCCCCTTTGGGTTTCGAACTCAAAGCCCCCTTAACACAGCTACACATACACCCCATTTGAAAAGCAGCTATTAGTTGCCATGGCCGGGTAGCTCAGTTGGTTAGAGCATTGTCCCAATATGCCAAGAATGAGGGTTGGATCTCCAGTCGGGGCACATAAAAGAATCAACCAATGAATGCATAAATAAGTGGGACAGCAAATGGATGTTTCTTTCTCATAAATAAAAAGTGGGGGGGGGGGAAGAAAGCCTATTTCCCAAATATTCAATTTCTAAAAAAAAAAAAAAAAAAGCAGCTGTTTATTAGCTTTGCTATTGAGCTCTTGTTGAAACTGAATGCCTGACTGATAAGGGCCATGTGACTCCGCCTAATACAGCCATTTGGGGGTGAGTCAACTTGGACAGAATGACTACCAAGGTGGGAAGGGCTAAATAAGCCTTGTTCAGCAAATGGAAGTGATATATTCAAGAATGCTGCTGTTCTGGCCCAGGGTATCTTGGCTTTAAAGGAAAAGTGGCAGCTATCCTCTGGAGAAACTTTATCACTGCCTTCTCTTTCCTCTGACTTTATGTGTGAAGTAAAGCTGCTGACTCAATGGGGCTCTCAACTCAGGATTTCCCCTAAATGCTTGGACCTGATTCACTGATGGTTTAGCTACACTGAAACCTATCAGATCTATTGTGGCTGTTCAACTTCGGTGTTAACATGTAGAACCAACAGTGGACATGGTCACTATACTTTGTGCAGAATTAAAGGCCACTCTCATTTCTGGCCAATAGTCCTCTTGATGAACTTTGTTATGTTTGTACTAACTCTTGGGCTGTTGCCAACGGCCTAGCTCTTCGTTCTGCACTTGGGAAACCACAGACTGGCAGATTGAAACACATCCTCTTTGGGGACATGAAGTGTATAAACAAATCACAATTGCTGACCCAAACACTGGGGTCTCTCATGTAGATGTCCATGGTAGGGGCTATTCCGTTGAGAATGACTGGAGTCAAGTTGCTGACAGAGCTTTCTGCTGCCCTGATCGCCACCATTGCTGCTTCTGTCCATCATTGTACTGGGCATGATCTACACCGTGTGTCATCATCATGGAGTGGGCAGAGTAAGGAATCTATGTTTCTGATGCAAAGGTTAACACTGATTGCAACTTGGACTCCTGACAAAAGATGACACATTTGTCTCACAGGGAATGAGGCCACACTGCACAAGTGTGGCTCCTGCCCACTGCTGGCATATTGATTACATTGGACTTTTGCCCATCTCGGGGTTATTGTGGTGCCTCACCATTGTTGACACTTTGTCACCTTTGGTATTACTGGTCTAGTCCAATCAACTGACTCTAGCCATACTCTTGTGTCCCTTAAAACTAATCTGTCATGTTTCTGGCTTTCTGGAACATTTGCAGTCTGACAAATGTACTTTTTATTGCAAAAGCCACTTTAACAATGGGCTAATGGCCAAGGTTCTCAGGACTTCTTGTGCTACCATCTACAGCCATCTCAAAAAACTCTCTCTTTTTATATCCCTCACCTGCTCCTAGTTCATACACTTTAATACTAGGTATTTTGGTCATTAAATGTGGCTGTCTCCAGAAAGAGATCATCTCCTCCTGGCCACTTCCCAGGTAATGATAAAAAGGGGGGTGGCAGGTGGGGGGGATAGAAAATGATAGCGAAAATTCAGACTGCTACCCTGGGCATGATGCTTCTTTCTTTCCTCTAATGACAATCACAGGTTGGCCTGATTGGTACATTATTTAAGCTTGCACTAGCCAGTTTGGCTCAGTGGATAGAGAGTTGGCTGTGGACTGAAGGGTCTCAGGTTCGATTCCAGTCAACAGCACATGCCCAGTGTGTGGGCTTGATCCCTTGTAGGGGGCATGTAGGAGGCAGCCGATCAATGATTCTCTCTAATCATTGATGTTTCTATCTCTCCCTCTCCCTTCCTCTCTAAAATAAATAAAAATATATTTAAAAAA